GAGTCAGGACAGCACTTTGTCAAAATAACATCAATCTTTAAGCAAGCCATTTTCACCATATACCAGTGCTTCTCAATGAGTGAAAATCCAAGAGGTAACTGGGATTTAATGAAACACTCCCCTCTCTAGTAATATCACAAGAAAAAACAAAACAAAATCATGTAGCACCATTAGCCTTGTGATGTCAGGAGTGGTGCCATATGTCATCTTAGCAAGAACTGCCAGTCAGTAATTGCACCCTGTCTATTATTTTTGTTTAAAATTATTTAAATTAATTCCCTACAGACAGAAGCCTTCACAACAGATTGTTACTACTTTGTTATTTTCTAGATGTTTTTATTCTTCAAACCTATAATATAATGATGAGATTTTCACCCAAGACAAATTTTCATGATTCTGTTCTACTAGAGTCAATGATTTTACATTCTGGACATGAGATAGTTACTGTCAGTTGTGAACATGAATCTTACACAGATGAGCAGTTAGTCACCCGGTGAATGGCTGGACTGATGGAGTAATATGTAAGAAGTCAAAAGTCTGGTGTACAATTTGCTGCAGAAATTTGTTTCTCCATTTGATCCTTTCAGAACCTCCTGTCATTTCTCATAATGAAAAAATGAGAAATTTTTGCTTCTTTCCTTTTTGGCAGAAGTCTTTATGATTTTCTATACTTATATGTTATGCAGTATTTTATGCAGTGAATTGTTTTTAAATATCTCAAACTGCATATTTGCTTTATTTTCTAATTTAGCCATGGTAAAAGTTACTTAACTTGTTAGAAAAGAAACTCCCTGCCTGCAAGTGACTTTTTATTTACTCTCTGATTGTACTAATCTAAGGATTCAGTTCTGACTATACTTAAGAATCTGAGTGTTCTAATTGGCAACCAGCAAACAGCCTAAGTTTTAAAAAGAGACTAGTTATGTAAAGATGGGTCATACTTGGGATACACAGTACAAAGCATTCCCAAAGAAGCAGGGTTTTTGGAAGGTATTGTCCCTTAGGAATTTTCCATCCTCTTCAAATCAAGCATAAGACACTAGCTGTTCTGAAAATTAAACCCATGGTTCCAATTGCAGCTGGAGGCAGACTTCCCAAAAATTTCACAAGGAGCCTTGTATTTGTGAGGTTTTCTTTTACTGGACACTATAGGATTAGTATATTCTGTCTTCTTATAAGCATCTGAGCATTGAAACTTTTTCCAAAGTAAGGTATGAATTACAAGGGGTTTTTTTTTTTAATCTTCATATGAGGGGACTGAAAGATGAGACTGCAAGGAAAAAAAAAAAGGTATAATTCACAAATAGTTACTTTTGGAGCAGATATGTCATCCTTATTGCTGAAGTCCTATTTTAATGTAGTGGAGTGTGTTTTATTCTGTGCAATGTGATTGTATGGTGTTGATTCAATCACTGTGTTCACTTGAGTTTGACGCTAATCGGCTGTAATTGCATAATTTACAGATGATTACTGAGAAATCCTCTACCAGTCTAGCAAAGACCTTTTGCATTTCTGGGCTCTGTAGTATCAGGCCATCATTCTTGTGGTCCTCAGTCTTTCACAATCACATTAGTTTGGCAAATGCCCAAAAACATATTTAGTCATGAACTCATTACTGATACAACAGGCAACACAGGGCATGAAACACAATGCTGCCCGCAGCATTCCTCAATAATATGTTCTGGAATGCTTATCTTAGATTCCAACTTGTTATTACTTTGGCACACTTAAATAAATGGACTTGTCAACAAATAACAATCAGGAGCAACAGGCAATGTTTCATTCAAGTTATGTCATTGCCCTTCAGATTTCATTGTCCATATGTGAAATGCATTTTGTTCTTGGGAAATAAGAAACATGGGGGAAAAACAATGACTTTATATTAGCATTTGACAGTAATTCATATGTTTGATGAGTAGAGGAGGCAGTGATACCAATCTGACACAGCAGCATTATGGTAGCCAAGAACAGTAACTTCTATTCCATATATTACCAGTGAGTCAATGCTTCATTTATCCAAACTGCAGCTTGCCACCAAAAGAAGTCTTTGACCCAAGTTTTTGTGCAAAACCAGCAAGAGGTGGCCATCCAGAATTTCAGAGGCAGAACTTAAGAAGCAGTCATAAAAATTATACTTATGATGTCTCTGTGCTTCCTTGCATCCTTTTTTAAATTGTAGAGAAAAAAAAAATCTTCATTTTTTGTAAGCATTTTGGAATCTGCTTTATTCCAAATTACTGGAGTGCATGTCAGTAATAAAGACCAGCTCTTTACATCTATTGTGAAACGAGTACAGAAAGAGGGATAATTCCATTTTTCATATGGTTCAGAGACTTAAAGATTTTGGTGAGACTAACAGTATGAGATTTAAAGTGAGCTTTCACAATTTTTCATGCTTTAGGAAGAACTATTCCAGTCATAGGATCTGTGTGTGTGGGAAGAGCGTGGGAAGGGGTGTGTGCATAACTGACGGCCTTCTGAAAAGAGCAAGAGCAGTTCTTTCGTGGTTTACACTATATTAAAGAATACAGTGTGGTTTTAGGGTTTCCTTTTAAAATATATATTAGTACTTCTACCCTGGCCACTGGAAAAGGCACATAGAAGACATAGAAAGTGGTACAATCAAAGAGAAGGCATAAGTGGGCAGTAGATAGGGCAGAGGCAGTATTGCTGATCATGAGTGGTGTGGAGTGTCATCAGTTATAAGACAAACATATAAAATGGAAAATCTGTGAGCTATTCCTCTTTTTCTGTCACTAGAAGTTACCTACAAGTGCAAAAAATATTAACAGCAAGAGCTAGTCTTGTATTCTTATTCTGTATTGATCCAGATAAATACTATATCCTGATACATCCAAATACACTCTTCCAAAATAAAAGGCAGTGTAATTAAATATTTTATTGTTAGCATGGTGCTATTGCTACCCAGCAAGGCAATCATTTTCTTTGTCTTGTATTTTAAGTGCTCCTGCATTGCTATACTTCCCTTACTTGAGGCTTATCTTCCAAGTGATAGCAATTTTCCACTGAATCTCTTTTTATGGCCAGTCCACTGCTGAAAGGAAGATTGACATTTTCAGCTATGCTGGGTATTTCCCATTGTAACAACCTACTGTTTCCATAGAAATCCTTCAAAGTGTTTTAATAGAACATTATTTAAAATGGAGTTTTGTTTGTGCATTTATTCTGCAAGGTTATTAATGACTTTATTAATGTCTCTTCACTATTCACTTATTTAAAAAAAAAATTCAAAAATGTAGAAAACATATATGCTGCTGCCACAGAACTTTCACTATCTGTTTCCAGGACCCTTGAATTTGTTTCTCCTTTCTCTGTTTTTCCTCCCCATCACCCCTCAACCCTATCATCATTTTGTCCCTGAAAGCCCTTTTCTACATAAAATTAACACTAGAAAATTTACAGTGGTGAAAAAAACCTCTTAAATCAGACACTGAGCATTTTATGATTAATCAGAAACTCTCTGTGCCTCTGAATCAAGTTGCTTACTAAATGGTGGCTGCATCATGGGCAGAGCAAGATGTGAGTAACCCATGCCACGCACAGGGACTTTTGGAGCCTGTTGGAGATACCCACGTTGAGCTGAATACATTTTGTTTTAAGGGGGTGTTGATTTAAATGTTGGATGATTCACTGCCTCCTGCTGTCTCCTGCAGTGTGGGCATAATAGTCGCACATTTGAATGCGATGCTTTTTAATTGCTTTCCTTTAATGTCCATCCTCCTCATCTATGCCACAGCATGATGCCAGTTACCTTGGGAAATGTTCCAGCTACTCTGTCCCACACTCACTCCTTATCAGGCTCCAAAGTTGTATACCAAAATTCCTAGGAGTCATAATTCTAGCTTTCAGCTCATTATTATTCCTGCAAGGTATTATTACATATAGCCATGTGAATCCTTCTCATGCCTCTCCTGGGTTTGCTCTGTTCGCATTAAAATAAGAGTTAGCTGTCTCTAGTTGTTAAGTAGGAGCAGAAATATATAATTCTGGCAATGACATATATTAATTTATTTATTAATTAGATACTCTGACATCTGGAAATGAGGTTTTGGTGAGTCTGATGATGATCAATAGACTTTTTATGTGATCAGCTAACCTATTCGTTCATGACAGCAATGGAATTATTGTGAGCCTAAGTGTTTGCTCATGAACCTGAAGGATGATTTGAGTTTTAGCACAAAGTGAGGTCCCATTTTTTGTACCTGTTATGTAATTTCAAAGATTTCAAGCTAGTAACCTGCTAAGCAGAAATCCCTTAACCTGTCAGGCCCTATAATGCTCTCAGCCAGTGAAGCAAGAGTAGGCTCCCTAACTAAGCATCTATCTGTTTATTAATCTTAAAATGTTTTTCTCATTTCTTTCTGCCTCAAATTACTCTGTATTTAACACATTTAGAGATAAATTTCTGTGTGTTTCAGTACAGGTATTTAGTGTCTGTTCAGATATCTCTTCTAAGTATTTTGTAAATGTCTCAGATGGAAGAATCTAAAATGGCACTAGCTGGCTGTACTTAAGCACCTGAATCTCATCCCATACTACTTTTTAGTCAACATTTGCCTCACTAAACACTGTAAATCAGATAAATATAAGGCTCCTTAAGTGCATCTTCAAATGACTTGTGGTAGGTAATAAGCTACCTCTGCTACTTAGATTCCATTTCCACTGGAGTGAAAGTGACCCTTTTTTATAGCTTGCGTGTCAATGGTTAACACTTCTTTGACTGTCCTGTATTTTTAATGTTATCAGGATGAATTGGTGTGATTTGAACATATACCCTTCTGCTGGTGGAGATTGGCTTCTGCCTATCAGTTGCTAAATTCTATTCAGTGTAGGTCAGAGACCAAAACTGCAGCTGACACCCTGAGGAGGAATGTTCTGTGCATGTCCCTGGAAAGACAGGATTTTAATTTCTTGCTGTCACTTGAGTAAAGTGTCACTATTGCCAGGGGACTTCCATAAGAGTAACAAGCCAACCAGATACCATGTAATCACTCTCTAAACAGCACCTTTGTGGCACTCATTTGGGATTTTCTCCATGTTTGGCTTTGAAGACTAAGCAGCAGTGATTAAATATACGGATTGCTTCTTAGCTGCAGGTAAACAAATTTAAACAATTTATGAGGAAACTAAGTTAGAGAAAGCACAAAATAGGAAAGCCTAAAAACTTGGAGGAAAATTAATATCTGGGGAGAATACTGACAGCAGATGCAGATCTGAAGAAAGGCCAATCCACTGTGGTTTCTTAGCAAACTAGGATAGCAAATTTATGGAGCCATTATATTTAGAAAACCAGGGAACAAATAAGTAGGTGAAGGATAAGATATTGCACCTCCATTTCTGGTAAAGCAATTTTGCCCATTTAAATATTAAGCAATACAGTCATGTCTTATACATGAACCCAAGCATGAATCCTTTTAAAGCTCTGATATCATAAACAAATGCTCAATTAATTGCAGCAAGCAAATGGTATTGTAATATGTAGTGGTTATAAGAGCTTGCAGAAACCGCCTTAGGGTCTTCTGTGTTGTCTTACAGTTATGCTGCTGCTAAAATTCTTTATTTAGGGGATAGAAACAGCTCATTAAATTAAATGCAGCTTCTTCAAGATGTGACAGAATATAATGAAGTTAATAGTGATTTGGATTAAGGAAATTTTGATACTGATATTTTTGCTCTGACTGTTGGCATATATTGAATGACTGGATAATTTCTTTGCAATGAATAATGGATAATTTTGTCTAGCATACTGTAACATTATGCAAATTCATCATGCACAGCAGCGGTACAAACTTTGCTCTTCCCTCTTGTTACATCTGGCCTGTGTTGAAAAAAGAAAGACTGAATTAAGAGAAGAGGAGCAGGGTTTTCCAGGGTTGCTGGGGATTGTAACAGCTTTGCCATTAAAACCATGTTTAAATACAGAAGTTGTATGACTTTTTGTCAGGTTTTCTGCATTCAGATCAGCATGGCATGCAAGCTTTGCCTGCCTTTTGTTATTTAAGCAAAATTAAGGTCATGTTTAGCACTGGTAAACAAAATTGCTCCATTTGAACTACAAGCACAGTTTTAGTTAAAGCCTAATATCTCCTATGAATCTGAACATCCCATGAATTTTGCTATGCCTTGATTCCTGTTGCTGCAGAACTTACAAGAAGTATAATGCTTACCAGTGGCATCATTACTGAAAAGTGTTTTTATATTGGCAAAAACACACAAAAGCAGTGTGGATGATTGTTGAATTATGCAAAAATATTGGGAGTGGAGAGCATGTTGATTTATTTTTATTGCCTGGGGAAAGATGATTTTGCACAATTTCAAATTAGATATCCAGAGATGAATAAAAAGAAAATAACTTATCCCCAAAAAGCCTTCACATGAAAGCTGTAATTCAGAAGCCCTGATGAATGTCAGTAGTGAGTATACTGTGAAAGTGTAAAATTTTCAGGCCTCTTCTCTCCTATTCACAGTGTGGGAAGTCAAGCTTTGTGGAAGCTGTTCCCCACAGAAAGGGAGAAGAATGGATCTAGCCACTAACTGGGATAATTAGATCCTTTCCTACACTACTTCGTGGACTTACACATTTGACTGACCACATAAATGTTTCACCAAATATATAAAGATGGATTTGTAAATTTGATGGTTAGATAAACTCTGCTGACTTTAAGCTAAAAGCAGGATGTGCATTTTCATATGTGGAATGCCACAAAGTTCTCTGAGGGTCTCACATGGAACAACTGCTTTCTGGAGTGTGCAGCACCCTGCCGCAGAAATCCAAGTATGCGCTGGAAGTGCAGCATTTTCAAATACAGACAGACAGGCGTGTTAAGTATTTCTGCTTTGTACAGTGCTGAGCATGCTGATGCTACAGCTCTATTAGCTGACTTGCAGTCTCAGCAATAGGAGGAATATAGAAATCATCTGGAGAGGGAAGAAAAGAAGAGCAAATGATACAGGAGCTGGTTTACTATACTGTTTTCTGAAGGAAGGGATGCTTGTGTTTGCACAGAACAGGTAGATAGACCTGTCCTCGTGCTACCACTGCTTTCTTTTAGGATGGTCCATTACTGCCAAGGATTTACTGGGTAGTCAGGGGCCAGGGTTCTGGCTGCCAGGAGCTAAGTGGAAGGAAAAGGTTTGAGAATTGACTAGTAAACTTTATTCTTTAATGATTAAATAAATGAGAGCTTTTCATTGAATTTTAAGCCCTCCAGCCTCTCTGGGAATTACATGTGTTTTCTCCTACACAGTGCAATGCTAAAAAGGCTTTTGGGGAGGGGGAAAAGGCTTTCTCTTCAAAGAGACATACCCTCAAGGGATTTATTGCTTTCAGATGCTGTTTCTCACTCAGTGTGTGTAATCCCGCTCTTCTGTTTAGCTCTGTCTTTTACTCTATAGCATTCAGTTCTTGTCAAGCCTTGTGTACTACAATAAGCCAAGGCAGTTTTAGGTATCTTTTCTCTTGTGTTGAATCACAGACTCTACGTAAGGAACTCTTTGGTTATGGCCTTTTAGTCCTACAAATCAGTTTCATACTCCTGTTACCATATGTCATTTCTTCTTAGATGTCTATAAAGTCATTGCTGTAAGGAGGATAACATGGTGTAAACAGCAGCATGAGGTACAGCAGATTATATTCAAATTTATTATATGCTGCTGCAGATGCATTAGCTTTCTGTACACTTGCACCTCCATTTTTTTTGCTTTGCTTGCCCTGAAGTGACTGATTTATGTGTTTTTAAATACTTGGTGTAAACAAGTGAGTACATGAGACCTTTTGCAGTACTTGTGAAACCCCTCCCAAGTCCATCTGTCCTTTGCAGTTGTTCCAAGCCACAGAAAGGGGTGTGTAGAAGTGCTTGTGTGTGTATATGTAACTATATATTTATAGCTTAATAATAATCAAGCTTATACTTTTTCCATTAAATTGTATTGAAAACCACTCAGTTTCAAATACATCATGGTTTCAATACAGGATTGCTTTTTTACCTTCTCACTAAAAATTAAAAATAAAAAAAAAAGGTATCATGCAAAGTTGCACAGTGTGCTGAAGAAATCTGAAGTGGATGTCATACAGGAAAACACTGCTTTTTGAACTGAGTTAGTTATGAGAAGGAAAGGGAAATAAACAAGGACTGAAAATGGGCAGTACCTCCTTTTTCTTTTGCAGTAATTTGTGACGTCAGAATTTCTTCTTAATGTCCTATTCTCATCCTCCTCCAGATGTACCCCCACCCTAGCAATAGTACATAAAGGAAAGGTTTTAGTTATATATAAATCAGAAAGTGAGCATACTTCTCTTTATAGCATGACAGTTAGACATGTTTGGAAAACTGAAAATTTTTCATTCAGATATTTCCTGGTCCCCTTATGAAATCCATAATATAAATAGAAAAGCCTCTCCAATTTTTCAAATATTTAAATCAGAGAGTTGCAACTGTGCTGAAATGTTTATTGAAAACACAGGCTATTTTCCTACTGAAATTTTACTGCCGATTAAAAGTATTGCCTCTTTTTTTCATCAGACCTAATGCCTTTTCATTTAAAATTAAATGAATAGTACATTAATGATTGTTTGATGGATTGTTAAACATAATTTTATAGGTTATGTCAACTGGTCAAGACCTTGAAGTTTTGGGGTCTTTGTATGCATGTGTACGTGTGTTTTTTTAGTAAGATTATAAACCCCTGTTGAGGCTATGCTCTAATACAACTAGTGTCAATTTAGGGATATGACCTGAGCATCATTTAAATTAATTCCCATTTTTTTTTTATTCTTGTGAATGAGACAACATGTCTAAATAAATTCTTCTACCACTAAGCTATGCTGTTCTGAAACTGGTGTTTAATGTTGTTCTGTGATTCTATGGTACTCCTGGTTCTTTATCATCTAAGGAGTGCCATTTCAGTACTTGTATATGAACTCAGGTGCAGTTTTATTTTCTGTATGTTCAAAGATGTGATGTGCAAGGGCTATGTGAGCCCTAGTTATAGACAATAATTTAGTTTAGCTGCACTGAAGTTTTCTGTCTAATGTATTTGTGGGAAAAAAATCTTGTTATTTCTTTATATCTGAATAGCATGCAATGAACTACAGTCAGTTTTCCATCCAGATAAATGATGGAAGTGCAAATAACAATTCTGGGAGTTGTTTTAATCAAGCAATTAAAATATCTGATGTTTTTAATTCTGTTGTTATTGTGATTTTAATGGTGATGCTTCTTGTTTCAGTTTTCCTCCCATAATGCTGTAATTGAATGAAGCTTGGAAATGCAGAGAGAGAAGAACAAGAATTATATAAATAACTAAAGAAATGAGGAGAGAAAAGGGAAAGAACCCTTTAAAGAATCCAAAAGGAAAAGGAATCTATGTGCAGTCTGATTTTTAAGGTGAGGTATTCATCTGTTCTTAATTTATCCACACTAATACAATCTTCCCTATCCAGCTCATCATCTCCTGATGAATAATGCATGGATAAATATTGCTACCTATGAATGCAAAAGTAGTTTATAATTCCCCAGAAAGGTTATATTAATAGTACAGTGTTAACCACCTTGGTCTGAGTCATAACTAATTGTTACTGTATATGTGTGAAACCCAAGGAAATGAAGAAAAGAGGAGGCAGAAGACAGGAAAAAATCCAACTCTGGAGTTCATTGTATTAAAAGAATAAGTTCTTTTTAGTCTGAGCAAGAAGCTGGTGATACTTATTAATGTTATTCTTTAAAATAGTCTTTCAGATGATTAAGTTAGAAATCTTCACTATGCTCTAGCTGTTAACAGAAACCACCTGAACTTTTGGAAGTAAGTCCAATGGAAATAAAGTTATAATATCCAGAAACCTCTGTAATGGCATGCTAAGTTTTCCCTTGAATGGTTTAAGCCCTCATATTCCATTCTCACTTTAAAAATATGCTATTAAGGAGAGGTTGAGAGGTGACCATATTTGACATCTTATCCATTTGCTGTTTCACAACCTATTAAAGAGAATTATAACACTTAGTTTAAAAAGAAATAAATCTAATTAGTAATGTTAAGTTACATTATATGCACACCACTAACCTTGTGCTTCACACTGTCTCCAAAAAAGTCACATTGAAGGGTGGCACAGCAGATCACTAACAGGACCAGAAGTGGAACCTGAATGTGCAAACTATTACGCAAAGTCCCTCTATTTCTTCATTAGTGTGCAAACTTCATAGAAGATATAATCCAAGAGAGGTCTGGCAACAAAACTATTCTTCTCTGTATATAGTTGAATGGATTGGACAGGAGAGAAATCCTGGTAAACAGTAAAAAACCCTAGTAAATAAATATAAATTTAATGCTCTGAACTCCTCTGAACCCTGACAGTGGCAATTCATTCCCAAAGAATACTTATTTGTCATTCCACCCACTGCTGTGCTATAGCTGACACTGAAAACATATTAGGAAAGTGTATGTAATGTTCAAGGCATCTTCAGACTCTTTCAGATCTGGAAAATCCAGACTGGTTGCTCAACCACCTTTTTTACCAAAACACCAGCTGGAGAGAAGCTCCTAATTATTTGGAACTCAGTGTGCTAGTATGAGCTTGAACAGATGAAGACTAGATGGAGCCAAATTGCCCTTTCACACCACCTTTACACTGGTATAACACCACCAATTTAAACACCATTAAGTGGCAGATGAGTGGGTCTGTGTATCTGCATAAAGTGTATGGAGGAAAAGGAAAACTTTTTCTCTAAAATTATCTTAGGAACTGATGTGAGCAGAGGAGGGAAGAGGAAAAAAAATATAAAGTGGTAAAAAAAATTTAATCAGTTGGCAGGGGAGGAGAAAGGCACTTCACAAGGGGAACAGAATTCCCATGTTGAGAGACCTCTCTGCATGGTGTGTGTTTCTTACTGTCATACCTGCAGTATGCAGCAAACACTGAAAAATTCCATGACTATTTGTGATCAGAGATTTTCCATTCCTGTGCTGCGGAATGTCCAGGTTAAGCTGCATGAGCACTAGACATGCATACCATAAGTAATAATGTTTTTTTTCAGGAAGCTGCAGAGGTTTTGGCAGCTACTTCAAAATTAGTCCAGATAGTTGGAGACTTACGAGATCATTTTGTTTTCTGTGAGAACAACATTTCACCCTGTTATCACTTGATGTAAATTGATTCTTGCCAGAATTTCCATTGAATCTATTTAAGGAAATAGGAATTTAGAAAATAAATATTTCATGACTTGTAATGCTGCTGGTTTCACTTTTCCTTTAGCCCACTCTAGAATGTAATTGTCTGGATTTTATTACTTGACTATTGAGACTAATATAGCTCTAGGCAAATCTCAGGCACAGAATATGGTCATTCCTGAGCCACCGATAAGAACATTGTTAATATGTTATCAGTTTTTATATTTTTTAGCAAGAAAAGCTAACAGAGTCAGACCACTTCATTAGAAGAGCACAACTGTAAGTCTCTGAAGTATGAATTAAATCTCTTCTTGCTGCCTTTGTCTTTCCAAGCTAAGAGGGAGTGTTATCAAACCATTTCTTTACACCGCAGGGTAGCATTACTCTTTGGAAGATCTCCAGCAGATGCTGCAATAAGCCCTTTAGGGCCAGATTTCCACAGTTCATGCTTCTTTCTTCTGAGTGGCATGGAGTCAGAGGAAGGGACCATGCACAGGCAAAGTTTTGTTATCCTCCATTAGATCCTTGAAAATCCCCATGTAGTCCTCTCTCCTCTAAGACACCCAAGAATGAAAGACCTAGTTGAATGAAAATGTGTGTTAACAATAAAATCATAGAAAATCCTGAGTTGGAAGGAACCCACAAGGATCATCAAAGTATGACTCCTGGCCCTGCACAGGACACCCCAAGAGTCACACCATGTTCCTCAGAGTATTGTTTAAACACTTCCTGAAGTCTGCCAAACTTGGGGCTGTGACTGCTTCCCTGGGAGCCTGTTCCAGTGCCCAAACACTCTCCAAGTGAAAAATCTTTTCCTAATAATCCAACATAAACCTCTCTTGAGAGAGATTCATAATGTTCCCTTGGTGTCCTATCACTGAGCACCATAAAGTAGAAATCGGTGTCTGCCACTCATGAGTTAGTTGTAGATTCCAATGAGGTCTCCCCTCATTCTCTTCTCCAGGTTGAACAGACCAAGTGACCTCAGACTCTTCTCATGTGGCTTCCACTCAAGGCCCTTCATATCTTCCTAGCCCTCCTTTCAACACTCTCTAGCAGCTCAATATCCTTCTTATATTGTGGCACTCAAAGCTGCCCCCAGCACTTGAGGTGAGGTAGCCCCAGTGCAGGGCAGAGTAGGACAATCCCTTCCCTTGCTTTGCAGGAGATCTTGTGCCTGATGTATCCAGGACACACTTGGCCTTCCTGGCTGCCAGGGCACTTCTGACTCACATTCCACTTACCCTCAACCAGGAGCCTCAGGTCCCTTTCTGTAGTGCTGGTCTCTAGTGTTTTTTCCCCAGTCTGTCCATACATCCAGGGTTGCCCCATCCCAGGTGCAGAACATGGTGTTTCTCTTTGTTCATATGATTGATGGTTACCCAGCCCTTTAATTTGTCCAGGTCTCTCTGAATAGCATCCATATTTTTGAGGGACTCGATGATTTCTCCCAATTTGCTGTAATTGAAAAACTTTTAGTGTGTCTTAGTGCTGCATTCAAGTCATTTATGAAGATGTTGATCACAGAGCCAAGGATGGAGCCCTGCAGAACCCCACTAGTAACAGGTCTCCAGTCTGAAGTCACTCCATTCACTGTAACTCTTTGTGCCTGACCCATGAGCCAGTCATTCTCCTACCCCATGATGCGTTTATCCAGCTGTGGGGTGGAGATTTTGTCCAGAAGGATCCTGTGAGACACAGTATTGAAAGTTTTAGTGAAATCCAAAAAGATTACATCAACTGGCTTCCCTTGATCAGGTAGGTGGGTTGCCTTGTCATAAAATGAAATTCAGTTTTTCAAGTAGGACTTTCCCCTCATGGAACCAATGGCTGTGATCAATGACTTCATTGTCCTTCAGGTATTTTCTCTCTCAGGATAATCTTCCCCATAATTTTACTGGTGACTGCAGAGACACCAACAGGCCTTATAATTTCCAGGGTCATCCTTGTTCTTGAAAACTGGAAGAGGTCCTCACATGATCAGCTGGAACTTAAAAGAATAGGCAAAAGGCTGGGGTTTTTTTTAGGCACTGTAAACAGGAAAGAATGCAATCTCTATTTTTCTATACATCTTAGCAATATAATCCTGCTAGCATTATACAATATACTTGTTGAGTTACATAGAAACAGTCTAGATAGTGCACTTAATGCACCATTCAGGGCATAAGAGTTTGATGTGAGGAGAACTTACAGCCCACATGAATGCCAAGAAAAAATGTTGTTATTATACACAGAACTACAAGGAAATTCACATTATCAATGAGGCAATAGCATGTTGTGTATTTCAGTTCATAAAATTGACATTTTTAATAAAAGGTGTTAGTTTAATTTAGAGCATAACCAGAGAACATAGGCAAATATTTTCCAATTCATTAGGCCACAGGCCCATAGTATGGAAATAAATTCTTCTGATGAGTCCTGTCACCACACTGTAATTCCAACACTGCCATTTTCTGAAATTAAGCAGACCCATGCCACCCTTCTCTCTTCTGAGGTAGCTCCAAATATTTCACGTGAGTTTCCCAGGGCTGACTGTGATGGTGCATCATAGTGGGAGCCGTCTCACAGGATGCACATGGGGAATGGAAGGGGTGCTTTACCCTGAATTTGAGATTAAGTTATGAGACATGAATTAGGAAAACAAGTTATTTTCAGTTTGTCCTCTCTTCCAAGTAATTATCTTGATGCCCACTCACACAATCATATTTGTTCTGCATTTGTAGCACTATTAACAAGAGCAGGCTTTTGAGGATCTGAATTTAAGCTGTGGATGCTGCCTCAAAGTAAAGAAGAGAAAAGCAGAAAGACCCACGTAAGCGTTGCAGCTTCTGTGTTTTTGGGAGGGAGGAGTTCTATCATGTGCGGCCTGTTGGAGGGGTTTCCCTACTTTATTGTGCCAACTGGCAAATCTCTTACTGAAACTTCTGTCAGTTTTCAGTATTACTACAAAAAATCAGTTGGCAGTTGTAATCCTTTTGTTTAGATAATTGCAATCCACTGTAGAACAAAAGATTTATGTCATCTGCAAAAGTATCCCAGTTTGTAAAAAGTGCATGGAATTTTTTGTTATTGTTGACATTTTCCTTTCAGCCATTCATATTTATAAAGGAGTAAAATCTCTTGGCACAGTTTGCCTGGTGATTGCATTCAGGATAGGCATTTAGAAACAAATATTGGTAAGCTATAGCACTGTTGATGCTGGTAGGTGAAGGTTGTCAGGTTGTCTCATCAGATGTGAACTGATCAGAGGGGTGAGCACATCCCTTCCTTTTATGAAACAGTCCATCATGAGTTGTAGAACACTTCATTTAGCATAAATTATGCAAAAACAGCTCACTTAAGGGAAATTGAAAAAATGTTGGGGTTTTTTGTTTTGGTTTTGGGGTTTTTGTTTTGGTTTTGGGGTTTTTGTTTTGTTTTGTTTGGGTTTTTTTTTTGTTGTTTTTCAGATCTATTTTATATTATATATATATATTTTATATATTATATATATATATGTTATATATTTTATATTTTATATATTATATATTTTCAGATCTGGCTAATAGTTACACAGCGAATGAGGCCTTACTGGGGTATTTTCAATATTTAAAGGGGACTTTTAAGAAAATTTCTTCCAAGGCCTGTAGTGACAGGACAATGGGCAATGGTTTTACATTGAAAGAGGGTAAAGAAGGTAGATTTAGTCTGTATATAAGGAAGAATTTTTTTTCATTGTGAGGTTGGTGAGAAATTGGAAGAGGTTGCCCATCTTGGAAGTGTTTAAGGCCAAGCTGGATGGGGCTTTGAGTAACCTGGTCAAGGAAAGGTATCCCTGCCCATGACAGGGAGTTTGGAACTAGATGGATGATTTTTAGTGTCTCAGCCAACCCAAATAATTCTAATCATTCAAATAATTTTGTCATTTTATAATTTTATGAAAATTACACTTTTCTTCCATTTATATCTGCAAGATATTGGGTCCAAAGGGAAAACCACATGATCCAACACTGGGCACGGTTTTCCTCCCTTCTGTAGCCCAGTTTCCTTGGCCTCAATGTGAGTGCACTCATCTTCTAGTGATTATTAGAGAAATGGTCCTAATTTGATATTAAGAGAGCAACTTTAATTGACTGGAAACAAGAAATCAAGATGCAACAATGAGTTTTCTGGTGAATGAATTTGGAATTAATCTCCCAGAGGTGTATATTGTGTCTACAAAAAGTAGCACCATATACACAAATTTTTCAATTACCGTATTTTAGCAACTAATAATATAAGAAGATTTTGCAAAAATTAGACAATTTAAGTATATATTTAATGTAATTACTATAGTTAGGAAATGAAAAAAAAATTATGTGTGAAAGTATTGTTTCCCACTGTTTTTTAATGATAAAAAACCTTGGATTTGGTTGCTGAACAAAATTTTCAGATCCAACAGTGCTAAGTACTCTGCTCATACTTTTTTCTAAAGTGATAAAAGTAAATATTTCACTTGAGGTAGATTTTTTCTAGAGTTTTGTCATGAGCGCTTTTTAATTTGTTCCATGATTTCAGTGCTATGGTAACAGAGACATAAAGATAACATGCCTGTGGATCCAGTATTTACAGTGCTATGTTAAATAATATCATTATAATCCTCTTAAGTACTTCTTGCATAAATCTAAATAGCATTACACACATAGATTCTCCAGAAAGTATTGAAAATACAGTAATTAGGCTTGCATTAGCTAGCCCATAATAGAATACCCATGGAATTTTACAGTACTCAGCCTTATATGAGTATTATTTACATTATTTTGTTAAATAAATCATTCACTATGGCTCCTGGTTTGCCGGATTCTTAGGTGGAAGCCTAATGCTTGTCATAGATTCTTACTAAAATCAGTGAAAGTATGCAAATTCTTAAAACTCTGTACTTTAAAATATTTTCCTGATTCAGATTTATATACTTTAAAGCAGTGAAAGTCTTTTCACTGATACTAGCAATAACTGGGTAAGTATACAAAGTGCAGTAATAACCATATTTTTACCATAAGTAGTAAGTGGGAGACCCTATATTTTTCTTATGTGCCTATATTTTTCTGTTCAATTCCTCTTTTTTTTCCAAACAAGTTGGTGTAGCTGTGCTAATATTTTTTTTTCTGGGAACAGTTTCAAGGAAGGAGATCTTTAATTGTTCCCTCTTAAAGCAGTAATAGGTACTTCCATCTTGAAGCAAGGAATGTCTGGTTTTTGTTGGTTATATTTTTCTATCCCCTGGATAACATAAAACCTCAAATATGCATAGGCATTATGTCTAGTGATTAAGGTTTGCATAGTAGAAAGCATGAGTTATATATTCAGTTTTGCCACAAAATAGAAGTCCTTTCTTGCAAAGGAATGTCTGCATTTTCCCTATGTCAGTCTGGTTGAAGAGCTCATTATTTTCTGTAATTTATATGTTTTGGTGTGTTTTTTTTAAATTTCATCTTTCTGGGATAGTTTTAAGGGAAGCTTTTCTATATTCTAGTTTTAAATACATTCTGGGAGAAACTAATAGGGTGAACGAAGGAAGTTGTCTTATTCAGTAGCCAGAAGTAAACATAATTGGAAGTCTGTGGAAGGGCATCTTATTGGTCTGGGTCTTGATCCAGATTTGTTAGTTGTTGTTGATGTGGTGATATGTCCTGTACTGTCAGGCAAGTAGGTGGAATGGGGCAGGTGGTCCAGCTAATTGTACTAGTGTTTATCATGTCTTGCATGAGGATTTTTACATCAAAACATGGAATGGATCATTAGGAGTTTGGCAAGAGTGTTTTGTGGGAAGAGTAGGCTAGGAGAAATACCACTGTAATAAGCATAGCATAAAATATAAAGATAAGCAGAAAAGAGAGCTTACAATGGCAAAACACACTGTCTGTATCAGCTTAAACTTCTGAACTCATAGTTTGGAGGAATTAGAGTTGTAGTTATTATCTGAGATCTGCTTGGGTCACTGAAATCTTTTACTACAGTCTGTGTACAGACAGAATTCTCATTGCTTTTAATCTAATTGATGATAGAAAGGAAATTTTGGGCCAAATGTCCAAATGTCAGGACATTTAGCTTGCTGGATTGTGCTCACTGAGGTGATTTCCCAATACCTGATGTGAAGTGGTTGGTCATTCCAAACACCTTTAACCTCTCAGTATCATTACTAATTAAATCTTCTGCAGAATGTTACAGATGCTTTTAGGAATCTTCAGGTTAGCAAGATGTGACAGAACTTAACTACAATCTCCACCTCTCTCCTAGGTTCCCATGTATGCACCTCCCATAAGCCTCCACAATCCACTGTGCCACAGTTCAACAGCGCATATTCATTCCACAATTCCTGCTACTAAGATATTGTTTATGCATCCTTCTCATGGTTTGTCAATGTCAGTTTTATGCAATGTATGTCTATGATTCTAAAGAAAAGCATTGCTTAGTTCAGACTTATTTTCCCAGAAGAATGTTCCAATAAATTCTGAAAAAGAGTTTCAGTAGCAAGTCTTTCCTTTATCAGGAAATCTCATGTGGTGCCACCATAAACGTTGGGTTTTTAAAATCTTTTTTTGTTATGTATTGTACTGATTGTGAGCATTCGTGCTCTGTTATTTTACACAGTAGAGTTTTGAACAGTGCATGCTATCATTCTCAGTATTTGTAAAAAACCTGCTTCTCAAATAGTTTCTCATTCAGTTTTGAAGTTATGTGGGCAGAACATAAAATATCATAAAGCTGGGCCAAATATATGCACTGGACTGCTGGTTATTCCATATATTTAGGGAGTACATTGTCTGTGTAATCTCTAAATCTCTACCTTTTCATCCTCTTTCATTTTTTTGCAGCCACCAACTCACCTCTCCTAGTTTTGGTTTTGATCAATCATTTCTAAAATTTCTCTTGAAGACTTAAGTTTGGATCTTTTTTCCTTACATCATTTCTTTTTCCCAGCTTTTTGCTTTTGACACAGATCCATTATTTATAGAAAACTACTTAATTTCATATGATATTAATGAAACCCATCTTGCACAGCTACACAGGAGTATACAGCATTTTTGACATTTTGACTTACTGAGATCATGAACAGTAACAGAGATAGTAGAATTATCAATGCCCCAATGAAAACAACTGGTAATAGGAGGAAAAATGTGCAACAAACTGAACAACTGAAAGCACTTCCCATCCCCTGTCCTGACCTGAGCTTAAGGAGAGGCAGGGCTAATTCAAAACTGCAGTTGAACAAATAATCTGTGGAAGATAAAAGCAGTCGTTTGAAGTTATAAAACACAACTTATGCTCTCTTGTTTTCCTTTCTGGCTGTCTTGGAGGCAGTTCTCTCAGTTCATTGGAAATGGCTAATCTGCATGTTTTGGTATATGAATTTCTGGCAGCTATGTTTTGCATAGTTATTTAATTGGAGAAAAAGGTTAACTGAGTAATGGAATGTAATAAAATTCTCCAGTGATAGTAAAGACTAGGCCCAAGCTGAGAGGAAGAATTGAGCTTAGAAAGCAGTTTTACACTGATGGCATTAACATGTATTCTAGAAAACACTGACTGGGCTCTGCTTCTCATATTCAGAGCAGGAGAAACAATGAAGCATCATGCTATCTGGTGTAAAAATACTATATTCCAATTTAGTTTTGAGTAGTATGATTCTAGTGAATAGAAGTCAGGTCAGATCAATTTGAGACCAAAAATCATTTCACAACCCCATCTCAAAATGTTAAATCTTCTTTTGCCCTCACAAGGGTATTTTGAGGATTAATGTCCTGTCAGCACTTTGAAAATGTAAAGTGCTAAGTATATATTATTATAACCCTTTCCATTTATTACTTTTATTGATGGTCTCGTGGTTTCCATGACGCTATGTTGATTTGCACGGGATTTTCCTGCAGTGTGCATTTCATCTCATGAAGAGTAAAAAAACAAATAGTTCTTTTTAGGCCTTGTGCCTTGTTGGATAATTTCCAGTTACTGGGGGACTTGTTTATGACCCACTATCTCTGCTGTGAAAGCCTTACTGCAATACATTATGCAGCTGTTTGTTTTCAACTTTGTTTTCTCAACTATACAAGCCTCTGCTGCTACTGAGACCTATGTGCTGCTCCTAACTGACTCCTAAGGGGTTCCTGAGTGAAAAGCAGACTTACCACCCACTGAACTCCTGTATTTTTTAGTAGTAGTGTGTTCAAGGAGTGGGACTGAAGCCAGGCATGTTGATCACTGGCAATCAGGGAATATCTTGCTTGTTGAAGTTCAGTCCAGTTTTTTCTGCCTCTTCTGGCATTGGCATTGCAGACAGACCTCCTGGTGGCCAGGCTTTTCAGAGGAAAATTCCAAACTTTATTTCAAAATTTTAGATTTACACTTTGGCTCTGCGACATGTCTGTCTAACTCCCAGCCAAGTCCCCAGGCGGCATTTACTTTTGGAGAAGTTTGCCTCCTCAGCTCTGCTTTCCTGCAGACTTCAGGGATCAAGTTAGGCCAAGAAAAGCCAAAAGCCCATGAACCATGTGTGCTTTTTGCTTCCTCTTCTGTTGAGAGTCTCAGCATGGAGGTTGGCCCTGATCTGTCAAAAATGTTCCCTCAGCTGACAGCCTCAGCCAGGTGGGTTTTCCTTAGACCTCATCACCCCTCAGGACAGAAAGAGCTGTGGAAGCCACAGCTGCAGGTCAGCCGGACCCTCCCTTGAAAAAGGTCTTGTGACAGGGAAAAAGTGCAACAGGTTGTGCCCAAATGCATGGATGAATTGCCACACAATGCAGATACCAAAACTATCCAAGTCTGTGTTCTTGTGACACCTCTGACGTCTTTTACGGCCTGTATCAACTGCTGTGCCTTTAACTATATCTCTCCACATCTTTTTCTCCAGGTATCCAGGGGGCTTGGGGGTGGAAAAAGCCAGATGTCAGAAAGGGCCTTGGACCTGCTACGTCTTGTAACCTTTCATGTCCCTTGCTGAATCATTTCACAGACTGATATCTTCAGGAGAACACAGGCCCATCATACTTCTGTGAAGTACAGGGGCCTTTGTACCATGTGGAACAGCAGACTAATGACCCTCAGCAGACTCAGAGGGTCATCTAGTCCATTCTCCTGCTTAAATCCAAGCTAGGTTCATTAGTTAATAATCAGAAATGTGGAGCATGCAATATGGTTTCTTTGCCAAAAATCTATCCTGAATATTTTTCTAGAGCATTTTCTTAGCTTCGTTTCCCTCTCCTGTTCAATTTAGTGAGAGAATAGAGTGCAGAGAGAAAAGAGGATGAAGAATCTAATGATGCAATGAACAATGTTTTGTTTAGCACCTTTATGGACTAGAGCAGGAGGGATCAATATTGAAACAACAAAACCTCGAATCTGATGATTCCTCTAGACAGATAGCATTCCAATGCTGTCAAAGTAATTCCTTCTCTTAGTGAGAGAAATCCCAGCTGTCCATGCTGGAGAAAACAGTAAAAAATATTCTAGCTTCTTAAGACATTGATTAAAAATAATCAAACAGCTAAAGGCTTGAACTTTTTCCAGCACAGCTTAGAAGTCTGTAGTATCTTGTTCTCTATGGGGGAGAACAGCAGGGTTTTCCTGATGCACCTAAAAGATGCAATTAATGTATTTTATGTGCCTAGTACCTGCTGTATGTTCCTCTCAAGATGTTAACGGCAAGAATGCTATGGTCTCATGCTCACAGTATTGGTCCAAAAATGCTGCCATATCTACTTGGAATAGCTTATCTTCCTCCTTCTGTGTCCACTCCATCTGTGTGTGATGTGAAGAAAGACAAAAATACAGACACTAGGGAGAAAAATGGGCAAAAGGGAGCTTTTTGGGCAGACTGGTTTTGGTATCAAAAAGGAGTGGGAAGTCGTAAGGCAATGACTGCTCAGGACACAATTTATTAAGATTTTTGGGCACTACCCCTTCCACAGACATCAAGTGTCCCATCATGGCGCTCAAAGTGTCTGGCATTGTTCCCACCCAATTCAGACAAGAACAATAATTTTTATTATCAAGAGAAACTGTCCTGCTTCTGGTGGAGAATATGTCCTATCTCTGTGTGTACTGTCTGCTGAAAGAAAAGAAAAACACTGAGACATATACAGAAGAATTGCATGCAGAGGTACCTTTCTTGCATAGCTTTGTGGGCTGGCAACTGACCTCTTTGGCCTGTCAGGATAGTCAACAAGAAAAATCATGCAACCTGTCTGTATCTTGTGACCTCACTGGTGAGTTGATAAATGATATAAAGTTCAGAAAGTTCCTTGGTCTATGTGTGTTCACAGTCCCATGTTTTCCATTGTTCCTCAAGGTGATGCTGAAATAGCAGAGAAATGGAGAGGTGATGCTGTTTATGCCATGCTGTCTCTGGGGTTATGAGTGTCATGTCAGATAAACAAAGCAGATCCTTAATCTTAGACATTCCAAGGAAGAGAAAAGGATCAATATGCTCTCTGGGACCATGTAGACTCAAAACAATGAGTAAATGAAGTAATATTTCTCTGTAGTTCCCAATAGGAAAAAAAAAAAAAGGAAAAGTAAAGTAGAAGATGTTGTGGAGTTTGATGTTTTTGTTTTGTATTTTTTTATTTTATGTATACTTTTAAGGCCATTATTTTACTAATACAGTCTAACCAGTGGGATGAATTCTCCGCAAATAAACACAAATGCCTAAACAGAAGGCTTGAATCTCTTTCAAAAAAAGGAAATTATCTACAATTTGGAACATTAAAGATGATATCCTTAGGATGTTTTTCACATATATCAAATCCTGAAATGTCAAAAATACAACATTAACCTTCTTTACTACCTAGAGTAGACCTTATAGAGGACAACTATATTTTGTGCACTGTAAGAACATTTTCTCTAACAAGACTCTCCCATGTACTGCTAATTCTGGCACCTAATCTTCAGACCTGTAACAGTATTCACTCCTTAACTAAAGAAGGACTATTTCTTGAACTTACTGAAATATCCTACTACAGTATTATGGGGTTTAGGATCCATGGTACTAGAGCCATGTCCCCCTACCTGTGCTAAACAGTCAGCTGGCCATCAACACAATAAATGCTTCTGACACCACAAGATAGTCAAAACCATCTCTTTTTTTTTAAGATTTTTATTTCTTGTTCTTAATTTTTTACTTCTTTTTTTTTTCCCCTGAAAAATTTTCATAAATCTGCATTGCTTGGATATCCATACATAAAAACTCTTTTCCACGCTTCCACATCTTCAGATATGGATGTGAATCCAATTGTTACAAACTGTACATCCTAATGTGAAGGGAAATAAGGGTATTTATCCATGTTCATTTAAGTATTTTGTTCTTATGTAAAATAAGATTTAAAATCTAACTTTTCATTGGAAAGAAGTATAATCCTAAATAGAAATGAACATTGATGTCCAAGGATTGAAGTTTTTCCTGGAGCAGAAGAAGTCCTTCATGCTTTTTCCTCTTAGTGCTGAATTATATTTAACAAGATTGGTGGTC